ATCAATCCCTTCACTCCCTCATGTCTTTGGAATTTTGGCCCTTCTCCATCTTAAGTTTTTTTTCGTTGTTTTCCTTTGATCTTTTCGTCCTTCCCACCGTCGTCATCCACGTGTGAAACAACTTCCCCGCTTGCTGTTGGTGTTGCCACACTTCTGCCTCCTACTGCACTAATGCTTTCTGATGGTCTCAGTGTTGGTTGCCATGCATTCAATGGTCGGTCAACGAACTCATCACCGTTTGTGTTATGCATCCTAAAATGCCCTTCCTTGTTTGTCACACTCTCGCCACCAGCTTTTGCTGCTGCCGAATCGATCTTCTTCCTTCCACCCGTGTGTCCCTCAATACCTTTACTGCATCTTACAAGTATGTCGCTGTCATACATAGAGCCCATTGCACGATTATCCACAGACCATTAGACACCTTCGTCCGACAGACTCAATTTTTTGTCGTAGACCGCAGAGCAATACTCGAGAAGGTGATGTTCACGCAGAAATTCGAACAACGAGTTCACTTTGTCTGATATTCTGTGGTCCAATGCATCTTTGTTCGCCTGCCTCACACGGGTAAACAAGTTGTCCTTCGCAATTTCATAAAACCTGTTCCTGAGGACTCTTTCCCTAAACACCCATTTCCCACCCATTCGGATAGCCATGTGCCATCTCCCATCAATCACACATGACCCGAAGACACCTGGATGCTATATGATGTGATGCCCCCACTCGTGATCATATGACTCTTTGCACTTTGTGTCCACAAAGTGAGATCCTCCTTTCATCTCCTTCATGTCATATGATATATTATCACTCGGTGCAAACTTTTTACGAGCGTCCTCAAGGATGTCAAAGAGAGGATTACCCTCTATATCCATCCCATATGGGTCGTCCATGGATTATTTTTCGGCATGCGGAACAGTTTGAGCGCCGCTGTTTGCTGCTCCTTCTATGTCATTGCGAACTCTCCTCACCAGCGAAATGAATCCTGGGGTGGTTTCCTTCATGTCGCACTTGGATGTGCTGCCTTCCATTGCACCACCTGTGTTTCACGTTGTTTCGTGCATCACATTCTCGGTCCTTGTACTTGCGATAGTGCCGCCGACATCTTCCTCCATCACTTGTTGACCTCCCAGAACGGATAATGAAGGCGTTTCCTCTCTCACTGGATTGTGATGTGCACCCGGCAACGAGAGGTCAATCTCGTCATCCTTTGTCTCCTCCTCGGTGTGCATAATGTCGAACTGCTCCCCAACGTCCAGTACCTCGCAGTACGCCTGAGCATCAATTTTGTCTCGCTTCTTTTCAAACCATAGATGTTCACATAGCCCCAGAAATATCTCAATTGCACCGCATTTGGCATTGTGATATCCTTGCAGATGCTGGATCGCTATCACCTTACGGTGTAGATAATCCGCATATGTTGGTGTCGCGGGTGCATTGAAAAACAAATACCTCCACAGAGAGTCTCTCTTCTTGTCGAGCTTCAGGAACATATCTCGATCAACACGATGTCAAGGTTTCGGTTGTTCGAAGTGACACATACTATCCAGATTGTGGACGTGATGATTGATGAACAAAGACTACTCCATCATGTTTGACGAACCATCTCATGCGACAATATGGTGTCCTGAGTGAAGCAAGTCCCACATTATTCCCGCCTGCATGTTGCTCAATAACAAGACACCTTCCCCTTCCTTCGAAAACCAGGTGCACACGTCTTTAATCTTTGCTGGTTCCCTCTGCCATATCCCGTACAAAGGTTTGCTATCGACTTGCACGCCGATTGGCTCTTTTGTACAACGTACAAATAACTCCTTCACATAATGCGTGTCGAAAAGAGTGTTCCCACAAGCAGGGTTGTCACCCGGGGACCCTCGGGGGCAAAGCTGGAGCCGAGATTTCACCCCCGGACCCCCTCCCACGGGGGCGATGACCCCCGGTCCCCGCTGAAGACCCCCATGCCCGCCCGACCCCCGGCACCCCCGCGGGACCCTGGCCCCAGCACCCAGCACCCCGACCCTGGCCCCGGGACCCCCGCCGACCCTGGCCCC